TACTTAGAAATTAGACATGATTTCTGCTTTTCATTGGTGTTGACTGATTTTCACTAAATTTAGTGGATGGCACTTTATGTTTATTTATAGGGCAGTCTGGCATCTTAAAAATCAATAGGAGTGGTAAAAACTTTTAAATGAATCTGTGTCCTCTGTGCTTCACAAAACGATAGTGGGACTATATGGGGCATGAATATTAATAAAAGTAAAAACTCGATTTTTTCCACTAATGAAAGAAAAGTGACCCTAAACAGCAATTAACTAAAACATTATTTCTGTTCAACATTACAGCACATTATATATGCAAGCGGGCAGCAGAGCCTAGGAATGAAGAGCCTGGGCCTCTAAGTCAGCATGATCTGAATGTGGCTCCAACTCGGCCTTGGGAAAGTTACTGAAGCAAAGAGGTTACGTTTCTCTACCTGCAAATGGGGAGAGCAGCAGTTCCTGCCTCAGAGGGCTGCTGTAAGGACAGATTAAGAAGTGGTACAATGTGGACTGCAGAGCATGCTGGAAGCAGGCAGCCCTTTCTAGGCTGCTTAGGCAAATGGCTCCAATACGTCTGTGTTCTCTGAATGAAGTAAGGCACAGTTTAGGAAGAGATGCCCCACAGAAATCAGCCAGGGAGGATTTTGCTAAGAAAAATGCACATGCATGTAATTCTGATCATTCTATTATAATAACTACTACTGATATACTGACTCAGAGAAAAACTTGTTATGCTATTAGAATCCCTCGTTTTTCAGAATGCTAATGCCTGGATTTCAGCTTTAACATTTCTATTCTTTCATCTTTACAAATGAGTTCATGTAGAGAAAAGGAAATGCTTATATACTGTTGCTGGGAATGTAAATTAGTATAGTCTCTATGGAAAACAGTATGGAGGTTCCTTAAAGAACTACAAGTAGAGCTACCATTCAATCCAGCAATCCCACTACTGGGCATCTACCCAAAGGAAATCATCATATAAAAAAGATACCTGCACTCAAATGTTTATCCCAGCACTATTCACAACAGTAAAGATATGGAATCAATTTAAGTGTCTATCAGTGGATGACTGGATAAAGAAGTTGTGGTATATATACACAACGAAATATTATTCAGCTATGAAAAAAGAATGGAATCATGTCTTTTGCAGTAACAGGGATGGAACTGGAGGCCACTATCTTAAGTGAAGCAACACTGAAACAGAAAATCAAATACCACCTGTTCTCACTTACAAGCAGGAGCTAAATAATGTATACCCAGGGACACAGAATGTGGAATAACAGATACCGGAAGTGTGGGAGGGGAATAAGGGGTGAGAAATACTGGGTACAATGTATATTATTTGTGGTGATGACTTACATTGTAAGTCCAAACTTTACCACTATGCAATATATCTATGTATCAAAATGGCAACTGTAGCCCCTACATTTATATAATAAATTTTATAATCATATAAATATTTGTATATATATTTACGATATATACAAATTTATATATAGAGAAAACCTAACCTTGGTTCTCTAGCTTTTGTCAAGTTGCCCCAAGATACACACACACACACACACACAAATGAAATTAAGTTGCCTTGATTTCTTATGCAGGAAATTGATTTCACATATACACAGAAATCAATTTCATATATATACAAACATATATGAAATCAAGACAACTTGACATAAGCTAGAGAAGCAAGGTTAGCTAAATAGGATGAAGTTTTAGGTGGGGCAAGATACCCCATGATTCTCTGGGTTGTCAAAGCATGGTTTATATATCTGACCTTTGGAAACAGAGATGCTTTTATCAGGAACACTGCTTCTCCCAGGATCTTCATGTGGGCTGTGATAACTTCTCATTCACTTTCCTGTCTGCCCACTCAGTCACGGAGTACCTACTGTGTGTCAGGTTTGTGTGGTAGATGCTTAAGGATAACGTTAAGAGTTCTGTTATTCAAATAGAATTCAAATAGAGTTCAAATATTAAGACTAATTTGGTGCTCACTGCACAATAAAATGACAAGATAAATTAAAGACTAGAGTTAAATTCTGAAGTTTTTAATCATTTGTGGGGGAGGTGTGTGGGGGTGGGCCTGGGCATAATGCTTAATCTAATAAGCAATCCGAAGGCATGGAGCACAGCGTCGCAGCTCTGCAAAGCACAGCTCCACCACTGCTATTTATTTAATGAATACTCCTGGGCACTCTTTAAATTGAAAGATGGTTCATTAGATTTGTGCATCTGCCCTTCTCAGCAATCTGTTGTGTTTCTGATGAAGGCAGGAAAAAACATGTAGATATCATTTTCGGGTACGTTATGAGTAACGCAGCTTCCAATGATTACAAAGTCATAAAGGGCTCAGGCTGCCTAATTTCAGGAAAACAATTTGTCTGAATCATTCTCTTTCCATTCCTATCTCATTCTAATCTCACTTATCTTAGAAATTTTAAATACTAGCCCTTTAAAGGAAAAATACTAATCACAATACATTATCTGTAAGCCATAAAAATAAGCACGTTTTTAAGGTTATCAAAAAAAAAAAAAGTCCTTTCAAAAATGGCCAAAAAATTCACCCTTTTTGTCTCAACCAAGTTAACCACTAAGTCTTGCGGGCCGTGATCCTGCACTATACATCCACCTAGTGTAATCTGTCCTGGGGGCTGGTTATTGTAGTGGGTTGTACGTGTGTGCGCACATACACGTGTGTGTATGTGTGTATGTAAATTCCTGGAAGGCAAAAACAAACTAAAAAAAAATCTTTTGTTTCTGTCTCAGTATGTGCTATACAGAAGATGCTAATAAAAGTGCTGAACTAGGCTGGGTGTGGTGGCTCACATTTGTAATCCCGGCACTTTGAGAGGCAGAGGCAGGAGGATCACTTGAGGCCAGGAGTTCAACCAGCCTGGCCAACATGGCAAAACCCTCTACTAAATACAAAAAATTAGCCAGGCGTGGTAGTGCATGCCTGTAATCCCATCTACTCGGGAGGCTGTGGTGGGAGGATCGCTTGAACCTGGGAGGTGGAGGCTGCAGTAAACCAAGGTCATGCTACTGCACTCTCGCCTGGGCAACAGAGTAGAGACTCTCTTTTCCTGCTGCCAAAAAAAAAAAAAAAAAAAAAAAAGTTCTGAACTACATAATTGAAGATAAGTTTCCCTATACAGGGCTTTAAACGATTAAAACACAGACTCACTCATTTGCCAGCCCCTAGCAAACACCTATTTAATGCCTATCAGATTTGGTACCATGCAGGACCCATGAATGACGACAAGGACACAAACACAAATACAAAAATGTCCCTGCCCTCATGGAGCTTATGCTCAGTGAGGTGAGGCGCTGTCTTCTTCACCCCTCATCAATAGCCAAGAGTGACAATCCTATGGACATGCCCTCTGAAGGGGGCACAGATTCTCATACAGTGCCTTGAACAGAAACAGCTGTATTCTTGAGAGGAGATTCTGAAAGTTTCTAATACTCTCTTATGGAGACAGCTACTACACACATACAAATTACTGTTATATACAGTGGATTTCTCTCTGAAATCACATTTTGAGCAAAGAAACCTTGGCTTCTTGGTTCATCGTACACTACCTCAAAGGCTTAGCTTCGCCTCCTGCTGAGCGGAGGGAGGTAACTTAAGTCTTTGAGGCTGAGTGGCCTTGGTCCCTTCCTCCCATCTCCTATGTAATTTCACAAATCGTAATAAAATGGAGGCTGGGATTCAGAGTTTATTTCAAGTAGGTTGGAAACTCAAGTGTCAAGTGGTGGGGAAGGTGTATAAGACTAAAACATAGTTTTGTTACATCAACCTAGGAAAAACACATGAATTGTAAGAGGCTTTGGGTTAAGAGGTGCTGTACGGAGCGCTGTCTGAGTCACAGTCAAAGTGTGGCATTAAGCACTGCTGATGTGCGTGTCTGTGCTGAGTACAGAGATGAAGCAGTCCTTGCCTTCAAGATGCTGAGCAACATACACTAATACGTACTTACAAGACAGTGATGTAATTGCCAGAAAGGTAAGAAAAAGATAAAACAGCAGCCCATAGGAGACAGTGACCAACTCTGCTTCTCCAAGTAGCTGGTACCAGGATGATAAAGAGAGAATCAATCATTCAACATACATCTGACTGCCTACGTTGTACTGTAAATACTACGATACTGTTATTGAAAGTGTATAAATAGACATAAAAATATGTATATTCCAGCATCCCAATGTAGTTATGATTGGCCATCTAAAAAGCAAAAATTGAGAGTTTTCACAGATCCTGCTGCCCCCAAAACGAGTGTGGCATGTACCGATTTCCTGGAAGACGCAGCAACAAAACTTCCCACTTCCTTCCTAACAGACAAGATGACAACTGTGACAAAATGCTACACTCACTGATGCTGCATCACTTTAATGCTGTCATAACAAAGAAACCACACAGCCCCAAGCAGCTCGAAAAGGATAGAAAATCCCTAAGCAGATCTCAACAGTGTCAGGCTCTCCACCGGGCCCGTCAGACGCAGCCTCAGGCCTCAAAGGACTGATACTTTTAGTCAGAGTTTTCAGCATTTTGTGTGGAATAAACGTTTTCTTCTGAAATTGGCAAAACAACTGGCTGGCTTTCAAGAACCCAACATCCTGCCAGCCCTGTCATGGTTCGATACTGTCAGACATCTAGAAGCCCTATACATTGATTTTCTTTTGTCCTTCAGACACATGGGAAAAACTCATCCATAACATTTGGACGGTCTTCAAGTCTCCACAGCTTCTGTGGGCAGGTGTTCATTTCTACACTGAACAAATGACTAACACGAGATTGTGTTTCATCTCCCGGTTGTATGAGGAGCATTTACCATAAAGTGTAATGAGCAAAGGTTACTACATCTTATTCTTCTCAGTAACATCTATAGTCCAACCCAAGAAATGTGCCCACTCCATTTAGAGCCCATGGCAGCCTGTGTGTGCCAGGGCCTCTGTAGGGCACTGCTGACTCTGCTGAACCGGGACTGTCTTGGCATCGGACTGAGACCTACCAGCAAAGTGAAGCTGTGTTCCGGCAGCATCCCATACTGTTGGACAAGCCTCTCTCGGGTCACGCTGGGGAGCTCCGGGAGCGTCTCCCGGATCTGGTCGATGTTGATCACTTGCTGTGGGTCTGCACCTGTGGGCAGAGATGTGGCGTCGTAGAGCAGGAGGGGAGGCAGGTTAGGTTCCGGCATGAACCTGTGCAGACAAAGGAGAAGGGACCTGAATCTGGAGTCCTTGGATTAATGAGAAAACAAAACTTACCCCAGTAATATGAATGTTTCTGTGTATAGATGCCATGTTACTTGCAAGTATTTTCAAATGTCCTATTATGTCAATCCCGTTTTTCAGGGAAGCCTCTGCACAAGTGTCAAAACCTCCAAACCCACCCTTCTCCATGCTTATCAATAAGATGAGTGAAAGAAGCATAACACAGGCTTGAAGGCACACTGCGATGTGTAACTGTGGACAATTCATTCCACAGTTCATCAGGAATTGTGTCCACAGTTGTGTGTTGCTTCATGACAGGAGTATGTTCTTAGAGATGTGTCGTTAGGTGATGTTGTCATGGGAACATCACAGCGTGCACTCCCACGAACCTGGTCAGCCTACTACACACAGGCCATGTGGAACAGCCTCCTGCTCCTAGGCTACTGAGTGTCCTGAATCTTGTAGGCAACTGTAACACAGTGGCAATGGTGTACCTAAGCACGTCTGAATGAGAAAGGGACAGTAAAAACGCCATATTAGAATCTTACGGGACCACTGTAGCGTATGTGATCCACTGTTGACAGAAACATCCATTTGTATGCATGACTATGTCTTCATAAAGACACAGGCTGGAAAAAATAGGACCAAATGAGAACAATTTGCTTATCAGAACGAAAGATGACTTCCCCCCATTTCCACATTTCTACTATTTTTAGTAGTGTTTACCCAATAAATAAAAAATAGAAAAAAATATACCCTTGAGAAATAGAAGAAATGAATGGATTTTGCCTAAATAAAATGTGGCAGCTGGAGGAGAGGGAGGGAGGAAGGGATGAAGAGGTGGTGCCCAGGGCACAGCGAGGCAGGGGAACTTCTCGGTGTGCCACGATGGCGGATGCATGTCACTGTGCTTATGTCAAAACCCACGCAATGTACCACACAAACAGTGAAGCCTAGTGTAAACCATGGACTCCAGCCAATAAGGAAGTGTGAATATCGGTTCATCATTGTAACAAATGAGCATCTCGCATTACTGTGGTACATAACAGGAGACCCTGGGGGGACAGCAGGGAGGGGGAGTACATGAGAACTCTGGACTTTCCATTAAATTTTACTGTAAAGCTAAAACTGCTCTACAAAATGAAGGGAATTTTTTTTTTTTTTTTTTTTTTTGAGACCGAGTTTCGCTCTCGTTACCCAGGTTGGAGTGCAATGGCGTGATCTTGGCTCACCACAACCTACGCCTCCTGGGTTCAGGCAATTCTCCTGCCTCAGCCTCCTGAGTAGCTGGGATTACAGGCACGCGCCACCATGCCCAGCTAATTTTTTGTATTTTTAGTAGAGACGGGGTTTCACCATGTTGACCAGGATGGTCTCAATCTCTTGACCTGGTGATCCACCCGCCTCGGCCTCCCAAAGTGCTGGGATTACAGGTATGAGCCACCGCGCCTGGCCGGGAATTAATTTTTTAAATGTGGAAGCTGCACCAGCACATGTAATCGTTTGAAACAAGATGTCCCTCCCTGTTCTCATTCAGCACTAATGGTTTCTCTCTGCCCATTTTTGTCAAAGAGCTTACGTAGAAAAACAGGGTATGCAGAAGCGGTTGTTCAGAGGGAACGGATTCGAAGTGCATGCAACCCGTGGCCTCACTGCCAGATCTCTTTTGTGAGTTAGTCTGGTTTCTGAAGGCAAGAAAAAAACCCAGGGGAAGCTTCCTGCAGCTCACTATCATTTGCAGCATCATGCTGAGGCCACGGGCGGATGGAAAGCCGGACTCCACACTCAGGTGAAGGAACACCAATCGGGCAGGGGGCAACACTCAGGAATAAAGTGGCTTCCTGGGAGAACAGACTCACCCGGGAAGCTCACGGTTAATTAAAATAATTTAGACTCTAGCAGACACACGATGGGAGTTCTAGGGGTGAGGTTCATGCTAAAGGTTTATGAGTTTCTTCTTTCCCACATAAGCAGGCTAATTTTGATCCTCATCGGTAACAACAGCTACATTTGCATCTTTCTGCCCCTCAGAAAGGAAAGGTGGGCTGATCTCAACAACTTTGCGGCTTAAAACTTCAACCTGCTAACCTTGATGAGAAAAAAAATGAAAGGTTCAATTTATCTTAAGCCTGTTCTTATTATTTGCTTTATTTGTGGGGCTCGTATTAAGTAGTTCAACTTAATTTATCGATGAAACAGCGTCATGTGAGATTCAAGGGAACTACCATCAGCACACGCTATCAACATCTCTTTTCTCATTTTTTCTCAAGGAGCTTCATTCAGTGTATTACTGAATCAGTTACTGAACAGAAGACTAACACAGCCTAGGCCCCAACCTCGACTGCCATCCTCTCAGCTCAACTCTGACAACTCTGACACACAAGTGGATCAACGAGTTCTTCCAAAAGCTGAACCAGTCAAACAAGGCATCTGAGGCTACCAAGTCAAGAAACTAGGACTTCTCTCAGTGTGCATGTCAAAGAGGAAGTCTAGATTGTCCCATCGTCTAACAACGATGACAAAAAGTGCTTCCTAAAAATTGTTCAGTATCACTATGTTGAACTTTAAATGAATTTGAAATACCCCCAGCCCCCCGATATGTATTGGTATTTTGCCGTAAGGAGTAACTACCTGTAGTCCTGTTTTGCTTCTTTGTCTCTCATTGACACGGTGCACCTAGAATAAAGAAGAAAACATTAAACACTGCAAGTAGCATCGGCTAGCCTATATGCGGGGAAGGGCTCCCCTACCAATAAAGGACGCAGGCAAAACCAAACTCTGTGGCCTTCCATGGGAAAACCTTAAATGGATACATTCAAAAAATAATAAAGCAAAATGTATACAATAATTTTTTTAAAAAGAAATAACTTCAATGTGCATCCAACTTTCAGCCAGCTCAAACTCGGCTTTAGAGCTTTTTTTCAGTATTCTGCTTAAAGTATACAATCTTCAAAATTCTGAGTCAGAAAATTATGGTCCAAGTTATCTAAACAAAAACAAGGCATCTCTACAACCAGGTCTTCATTCTGTTTCATCTCTAGCTTCAGCTGGGAGAGGTTGGACAGATTATTAAGGAAGTAAAGATTCTTGCCACAAGGCAGGTCAACTGGAAGCAGAGAAGGGAAGGACCTGCCTCTAAGCCCCGGGGCACAGTCTGGGTCACTTCAAGTCTCCGAGCATCCCTGGGGCATTTTGTATCCCTGTAGGGTACAGAACTTTTGTAATTTTACTAATGAGGAAATCTAAGTGCCTCCTTCAAGGCCATATGGCTGGTCAGCGGTGGAGCCCAGCCCTCTCGCATCCTGCCTGGCTGGGGTCAGGACGCTCATCAACGTGAACTCACCCCAGCTTCTCATGAAATGAGCGCGTTTCGTTCAGAATTTCACCTCCATTCTCAAGTTCACTGATTTGCCTCTGAATTTCATAGTCTAGGAAAAACATACTAATTTAGCATCATATTTTGATTATACCTTTCATCCAGTCAAGCAGTAATTAGAAACAACCTTTCTCAATCTTTAAGTAAAAAAAAATAATAATAATCAAGAAGATTGTTTATAATAATCCTTCCCTTATACGCTATGTTTCCTTCTCACTGCTGTCGTAGAATATTGGTGCTGGAAAGGGCCTTAGGAAGGCAGACTCCCTCCGTGTTGAGACAACGCAGGTTCAGAGAGATTAAGCAACCGATGCAGATGACACGAATTGGCAGAGGTGGGGCTAGGCCCAATATCCAGGTCTGGGATTGCTGCCTACCAACGGTCCTCAACCTGGGAGTCCAGGATGGGCTTCACAGGCTCTGGTACCCCCGAAATTACATACAAAGTATGGGTTGTGTGCGTATGTGCAGGTTTTGGAGAGAGGGTCCAGCATTTGCATTATCTTTTCAGAGAGACCCACAGCCCCGAATGATTAAGAGCCACTAATCCTCACCATCGAATGAGTGAGGCTGTGGGAATCGAAACACAGCCACAACTGCTAAGCTGCTGCTGTTTTGCATTTTTTTTTTTTTTTTTTTTTTTTTTTGAGAGATGGGGTCTCACTATGTTTCCCAGGCTGGTCTCAATCTCTTGGCCTCGAGCAATCCTTCTGCCTTGGCCTCTCAAAGTGCTGGGATTACAGGCATGAGCCACTGAGCCCAGCCTGCTAAGCCTCTTTATGAAAATAGCTTGAGCCTCTACCTCAACTCTCCCTCCCACCATGTACTACCCTCCCTTGCCCAAATCTAGACCCTTTTATCTGAGCTGCTAAGAGGCAGCGACACCAAAACGTGTCACTTACTGCTTCCCATCTCTCCCCAACTCCAGTGATCTCTTTGGGTGACACGAGATGATGGCTAAAAGGTCCGACACAGGGAGGAAAAGGTGGTGGAAAAAATCACAGGCTTGGAGAATTGAGCCCACGATAGCAAAGCTTTGGTTCTTCCACTCTGAGTCAGACCACTGGGAGAATTCTCCCTCAGATTGGTCCTCCAAAGGGTTCTTCATAAGACAGGAGGTTAGGGACAGCCAAAAAAATGCCGGAGTCTCCCTCACAACTTGTGGAGGACTCTATTTAAAATCTGGCTGCTGTTTTTTTTTTTAGGTTACCATCACCACCTCTTCAAATAACCGGCCCCAGTACACTACTACCTATAGGGGGAAGTGGCATTTCCTCCCTTTATTCCAGGCTTCCCCCTCACCAACTTGGCTTATAAGGGTTTTCCCTGACTCAAACCTGTCATGGCTTCAGGAACACGGATCATGTCCCTTTCGGGAGGCAGAACAGTTCACCATCTTTAGTCTGCCTTCATATGGGAACCTACCCCTTCCCTCTCTGCTCCCGTAAGTTACTTACTCCCTTGACCACTTTAATGCCTTTTTCCTGAAGACTTTGGCAACATATTTGGTTGTCTTGGTTTCTGTGCGCTCTCGAAGGGCGACACTTCAAACTCCATCCCTCCCTCTTCCTCTCTAGATTGCTTTGCTTTTAAAAAATCTTTTTAGTCCTCCAAGGCCCTCCCCTCTAACTCACAGTTAGCAATATCTATGAGACTATCCAGATGTTCATCATGCTAAACTATTTTAATTATTATACATTTGTCATCAATGAAATACCCACAGTGTGTGCTCCAGAAAGATTACTACTTGACTGCATGAGCACATAACCTATCAATTAAAAAGACTACAAAAAGCAGGAAAACATATTGACCATTTAGTTCAAGCCGTGGTCAATCTAAAATGAACAACCATGACTTTATAAATCTCAGGCCGGTCAGAAAGAAGGTAGTAAATGGTAAAATACAGCCACGATATTTTGTGGATCCTCCGATAAAGAGGTGGAGTCTAATGTCCCCTCAGGTCTGCTTTGAATTCAATCTATTTTTTTTTCTTAATCTCACTCTGTTGCTCAGGCTAGAATGCAGTGGTGCGATCACAGCTCCCTATGACCTCAAACTCCTGGGTTCAAGCGACCCTCCCACCTGAGTAGCTAGGACTGACTACAGGTGCACCCTACCATGCTTGGCTAAATTTTTAATTTTTTAATGGAAATGGGTTGCTATGCTGCCCGGCTCATCTTGAACTCCTGGCCTCAAGCAATCTGCCCACCTTGGCTTTCCAAAGTGCTGGGATTACAGGCATGAGCCACTGTGCCAGGCCTCAATCTACTTTGAATACGACATGTTGGAACTGACACTGCCTGAGTTCTACAGCTTAGGACTCACTTCTGCCTTCATCCTCCTGAAATGCTCCCACTGCCTAATAAGAAAGCCTAGGCTAGGCAAGTGCATGAAGAAAGACCACATGGATGGAGGAGCCCAGTGGACATTGGCACCGAGACCCCAATGTGTGAGAAAGGCCACTGTGGACCCTTTGCCTCAGCTGGCCTGCCGGTGTCCCATAGCCACATGAGTGACCAAGGCAGGACCAGCAGAACCACCACCCGATTCATGGAACTGTGCAAACCAAAGTAGTTCTTGTGTAAGCCACTAAGCTTCTGGGTTGTTTGCTACACAGCAAGAAAGAAACAACAGGAAGAAGGACATGAGGAGTGGCAGCTGGCACTCACCTATGGCTTTGGCCAGGAACCTGATGCTGTTGAGATTCTTCACTTCCGTTCGAACGCCCAAAGGCTGCCCAGGGTGATGCACGGATATATTGGCATCCACTCTCAACTGGCCCTCTGGAAGGAGAGAAAAAAAACAACTCCTTAGAAATTCTTCGATGTGACATTGTCTTGTAAAGGCAGGGGGTGTCAAAGGAAGCAGCAGCTAACTCTACCTGCTGTTTAGTTATAGCAGTCTGACTTCAGAGAAGGCGCAGTTGCTTCTGAAGTACACAGCTGCTACCTCTAGCCACGTAAGAGGAGTTACAGACCTAAGGCATCTACGGTGTGTGTCTGTACATGTGAGTGTACACAGATGTGAGTGCTTACACACAAATGAAAGAGAAGTTTTAGATACACCAGCTGGAAAGATCTCATTTTTCTGTGCTAAATAAGAAAAACAAGACTATTAACATGGAGATTGACTATGCAGTTTTCTACTGAAGTTTTTTCAAAGTGTCAGAGCTGAGTTGGAGGAAAGGCCTCAAACCTGACTGATAACCCTACACTGCTCTCCAGTGGAATGTGGATTTCTAACAGTGACTCCAGGAGATTTAGAGAAGAGTCCTTGAGAATTTGCAGCTCAAGGGCAAGAGCTGAAACCCGGGCTTTCCCCCCTCCTCCTTCCTGCAGGTACTGTAATCATCTCTTCCTTCCACAAACATGACTCCAAATCCTTCCTGACTGCTGTAAGGATTTGCTACAGCAGAAAGACAGCGCTGTTACGAAGTCGGGAGTCTGTAGTGGGACTCAGAGAGGCGCTGACCCCATGCTGGGAGGACCTTCCTGGACCCTTGAGGCCTTTCAGATTAGGAGCAGCAAGCCCTAAAGAAGCAGGCAATGTGTGCGGAGAACTGAAAGGCTCTTGAGGAAGAGAGAACAATCCCAAGACAAATAGATGCAGGTAAGAAAGAATCACATTTGGCACCCTAGAACAGGCGTCCCCAAACTACGGCCCCTGGGCCGCATGCAGCCCCCTGAGGCCGTTTATCCAGCCCCCTGCTGCACTTCAGGAAGGGGCACCTCTTTCATTGGTGGTCAGTGAGAGAAGCACAGTATGTGGCGGCCCTCCAATGGTCTGAGGGACAGTGAACTGGCCCCCTGTGTGAAACGTCTGGGGACGCCTGGCCTAGAAAGTAAAGCTCAGATCCTTTGTTCTCCAACTTCATTTACGACATTTACAAGAGGACAAAGTGAGAAGACAAAATTCTGGATTTTATGTTCCTAGTTAAGTTTTTTAACTAAAAAGTAATCTGCCAAACCTGTGTGTCTGGATGGGCTGAATAAATTAATTGAATATTCCAAAGCAAAAGCATCTTCAAATAATAAAGTAGCGAAAATGAATTCCATGTCGAGAAAAGGAGATCCTTGGAACTGGCTCTCTGTCATTCTCCCCGTGCTGGGCTGTGGGGCCTATACCAAGCTGGACGTTGCCGGCTGCCTGCGGCGGACACCTTGCCGCTCACCCTCAGAGAAAGGGAAGGGCTCACCCAATTGCCGCCCGTGCCGACAGGGACAAGACGCCTCTCAGCTCAGACACGACTCTCTCCAGCACAGACTTCTCAACACTTTTACAAGCATTCTGTAGCCCCTTATTTGTAATCCCTTCTTTTGGCAAGTTGTGTGTATCTGCATCTCAGGAAGCCCAACTATTCCTGACATCATGAGACTCTCGGTCTGGGCACCCGGAGGTCATCTTCAACTTCTCTGTTTTCTTTGGCCCTGATGCCCTGACTGGCAACTAGCCCCTACCAGTTTGGAAGCCTCCAAATATCTCTCATGCCTTCCACTCCCTTTCCATTTCTGTGGCTACCACCCTTGCCTGAGGTCTCCAAACTTCAGGCTTAGGTTATAAAATCACATCCTGACTCAACACAGTTCCCTCCTTGTCTGGGGACTGCAATGTGGCTGTGACTTTCATCCTGCTACAATCTGGGTTCATCATTCCTGTTCACTCACAGGCACAGACAGCTCCTACTGGATCATCTCGGCTCCTCTGCTTGGTGCTCTGCCGCTCTCGTCAGGTTTCAGTCGACATGACCTGTATCTTCCCACTGCTCACTCCGGGAGAAAGCTCTCCTCCAGTCAGGGCAGCCTTCTGCACACACATCCCGGTCTGCTCCACCGGCGCACTCTATCAGAGCTTCTGTCCCTCTCCTTGTCCCTCAAGGTCTCACTTGTGTGTTACTGCCTCCTCCTAGAAGCCCTCCTCAGCAAACTGGCCTGCACTGGTGGGTCCCTTAAACTATCAGAATACTCAGAATATATACTACAGAAATCAGTATGTGACCATAGTCTACTGTGCATTGGCCTCATCTTTAAGGCCAGAATGGAAGGCCCCTGAGGACTGGCTGGATTCTAACCCCCTCTTGGCTTCTCAAGGGCATCACTCTTAGTTATTCCTTCTCTCCCATACCAGTCATGACTCTTTCTCAGCATTCCATCTGACATATACATATGCAGTAGGATTTCTCATTAAATGAACAAACAGAACCCCAAAACCTATTCCCTTGAACCTAGTTCTCACTCTGTCAGTCACTCAGCTATCGTTTCTCTGGTTTCTTTTTCAGCAAAGCCTCTTAAACAAGTTTTGTTTGTTGCACACATTGTCTTCACTATGTCACTTCCCATGTATTCCTAAACCTGTGTCAGCCTGGCTTCTCTCCACATCCGTCTAAAAATGCCCTTGTCAGAGTCACCAACAATTTCATGGCTGCCACATCCGTGGACACAGGACACACGTGTCTTCACCTACTAGACACCTCAGCAGCATGTGACACACCAACCAATCCTCTCTTCTTGAAATATCTTCCTAGCTCAGCTTCTGCCATCTTTTGCTCCCAATTTTCCTCCTCTGAACACTTTGTTTTCATTTCATTTGCTGATGCCTTCTTTCCCACCCAAACCCAGAATCCTCTTCTTTATCTATACTCTCTGGGTAGGCGGGTACAGTTTTAAATACCACCTAGTGCTGATGGTGCCTACATTTCTCCCTTTAGCCCAGACCCCTCTCAGCTCCACACCCGTAGCTCTGATATCTACTTGACACCTCCACTTGCACTTGGAGGTCTCACAGGCATCTCAGTTTCCAAAACAAAATCCTGATTTGGCCCTGCACAAAGACATTCTCATCTCATCTTCCGATTTCAGTAAACAGCACCACCATCTAGTTCCTCCAACTGCCCTAAAGGCATTTTTGCTTCCTCCCTGTCTCTTACCTTCCACACCAGCCTATTTCTAAAAACCACCTTGTACGTACCTATCTCTCCATCTTCATCTTCACTGCCGCCAGTGCCGTCCCAACAGCATCGTCTTCCATCTGAACTACTGCAAAAGCTTCATAACTGGTCTCCTGGCTTCTACTCCTACCCATCCGAAATCCACTTCCCAGAGAGCACACAGAGCGCTTTCTAAAATATTAATCAGACTATGTCTTTCCCTTGCTTAAAAGCCTTTCAGTGATTACCACTGCACCTGGGTTGAAAGCTAAACTTCTTGCCATTATCTCTGATCTAGCCCTTGCCTGCCTTTACAGTGTCACCTATGTCACTGCTCCTTCTGTTTCTGGCACAGTGGCCTTGTGCTACCTTGCTTACCCCAGGGCCCATTGGCCTTAGCCGGTTTTCTGCAATGTTCGTCTCCTGGCTCTATGCTGCCTGGGCCTTGAGCCATTCTTCAGGTTTTAAACAATTGTCACTTTCTCTGAGGGGCCTTTAAAAAACAACATTGTCACCTTCTGATGTTACTCTGTAACATCTGTAGCACTGCACCCCGATTATTTCCTTGAAGCATTTGTTGCTGTAATTATTTTATTTGTCACTCTTACGAATGTAAGATCCATGTGGCAGGAACAATGTCTTGTGTGGAACCTAGAGCCGGGTCTGGCACATGGTGACTGTTCAATAAATTAAATCTTATTGAGCGACGAGTGCCAGAACTCTGGCATCTTCCCGAGCAGTGAGTAAGCAGACTGGCTTCTGTCTCACAGTAGGTTCCCGGTAAGTTCTACAGTTCTGTCTGAATAGGACTAATCTGCAGTTGGAATCCTCTGAAAGCCCCATTAAGCTCAAAGGAAAACTTCCAAAGTGTGCTGAGCTCCATCGAACCAAATCGCAATACTTGGGAGACAATTTTTTTTGAACTCAGGGAACCATGAATTGGACCTCGCTTGCTTTTAAAAATGAAAGCATCTTTCACAATTTAGAATTCTAATTTGGAAGAGGAATAAAGGCATGAGTTTCAGTCTCTCCCAGAGAAGACTACACTACATAAATACCTGAGAGGAATCATTTAGTATCCTGCCGTGTTGAAAGAGAGTTCGCTAGCTTGGATTCAAATGCAGTTTCAAACATTCACAAAAGACGTGCTATCCAGTGAAGACAAAATACCTTTTAAACAAATTAAGTTAAATTGCCTCAAGTGCACAAAAGCTTTACTAGTTAGGTTTACTTCAATGCATTCCGCACCACTGAGGGAGAGCCTTCATTCACACATCATGAAAATGTCATCAGGCTCAATTTCTATCTTCCAGAAGTAGAGATTTATAACAGCAAAACTAAAAAAACTATACCACTGAGCACTGTGATACAGTACAGTTTCATATTTTTCTCTAAAACACATTCACACAACAGAAATATAACATCAAGATAGAAAACTGTGTCTGCAAACAGCAGGGGCCCAAAGATGTGGTGGGGAAGGTCTGTTAAGCCATCTTGTTCTGATCGCTGAAAAATAACAAGGTTTGACTAAAAAAAAGGTGACCAAATTTTATTGAACATATTTTACAAAGCTCATTCATCTAGATGAGTGGTAATTCCATAAAAGTATTCCTACTTATTACTGTTAATAAGAGCACCTAACAGGGACCCAGCACAGGCTATTTTCCAGACCCTATCCTACATTTTCTAGACATTAGTACATTCATTCCCTACAATACAGCTTTAGTCAGAAGTCCCCAACCCAGGGGCCATGGACAGGTATTGGTCTGTGGCTTGTTAGAAACTGGGCCGCACAGCAGGAGGTGAGTGGTGGGCAAGAGAGTCTAGCTTCATCTGTTTTTACAGCTGCTTCTTACCGCTTGCTCTTACAGCTGCTTCTTACCCTCTGAGCTCTGCCTGCTGTCAGATCAGCCACGGCATTAGATTCTCACAGAAGCAAGAACCCTATTGTGAATTGTGCATGAGAGGGACTAGGCTTTGTGCTCCTTATGAGAATCTATCACCTAATGATCTGTCACTGTCTCCCATCACTCCCAGATGGGACCATCTAGTTGCAGGAAAACCAGTCAGGGCTCCCAGTGATTCTACATTACAGTGAGTTGTATAATTACCTCATTACATATTACAATGTAAAAATAAAGTATACAATCAATGTAATGCACTTGAATCATCCTATAAAAACCCCCTTTGGCCTCCCAAGATTCTAAGATAATCCATGGAAAAATTGTCTTCCGATTTTTTAGCTTCTCCGGAGCTAAAATGATTGGAGACTGTTGGTTTTGGTGACAAAGCCACTGAGCCATTCCCGAGGCATTTCAAACTTAGCCTATTCAAACTGGAATTCTATGTTTTCTCCCACAAAGTCACTCCTCTCAGCCTGCTGCCCCAAATCTATCAGATGGCCTTGATGACTTCCTTTCCTCTTTGGTTTCTTCTTTTCCCTTTCCGTACAAAATTATTTGGGGGCTTGCTTTTTAAGTATGGAAAGGGAGGCTCGGAGAAATAAAACATTTTGCCCAGGCACCTACAGCTAGCAGTTGCAGGACAGGATTCCAAGACAGATCCGGGAGCTGGCAGCCCTTGGCACCTCACCTTGCTATCCTGCCTATCTTAAGCTGGCATCTGTGATGGTCATAACACTGCTGTGGCTGCCACTAGGAAGCGGTATGATGCTGTGCTTAGAGAAAGGACTCCAGGACCCAGACACACCTGGGCTCAAGTCCCAGCTCTGTCACTTCTTGTGAGCCCTGGGCAAATAACCCCACTCTCTAAGCCTCAGTTTCCTCACCTGCAACAGGCAGACTCTACCACCTATTTCTCAGCAACATCATAAAATTTAAATGAGATGATAAATTAATTGTAAAAGGCCTAGTGAACTGAAGAGTACATACTAATGTTCCAACTTGTAGATATTATTATCATTGAAACACTTAGCATGTCTACTTCCGTACACATTCAACTTAACAAACTATTACTTTGTGCATCTCCTCGACAGGGGCCAATGGCTGTCTACTGAGAAGGAAATAACTTGGAACCTGGGCTGAGCTGGTCTATGGTCATCAGCAAAACTATGAGGAACTCATTGAACTACAGCCTAGAACCAATTAGGCTTCATTCCACAGCACCCTGGGTGTCCACTAGTCTTCAATGTCACCTCTTCAGGGTGGCCCTCAGCTCCTGAGCAGCAAGCTCCAAGGCCAACACAGTGTTCCTCAGGGGGTGGGGGGTGGGACAGAGGGATGGGCAAAGGAGAGGGGGCCGATGAAATGCTCACAGCACCAAGGAGCTGGCTTCCTGCAGACTCCAGGCAGACCTCAGCTCCCACAGAACTTTAGAACAACCAAAGCTACTCGGCTGCTGTGCTCAAAGCTGTTAGATTTGTATTTTAAAGAAACAAAAAGTGTCACAACAAATGAGATTTAATGAACACTCTCAGCTGTCACTGACTGATGAGTTCTTGCCACTATGGTTCATCTCTTGGCAAGGACCCAGATGGGACTATTTCTCAGCTAACAGGTGGCCTATTTATGATCCCATAGGGTTAGTAGGAATCACAGTTATTTTGAAGAAGAATGGGATAATAAAAACTTTCTTAAAGCACTCAACACTTGGAACATAAATGGATAACTATCCAGCTTGCCCATATTTCATTTTTGTTCTGTGGATTAAAAAAAAAGTGGCATGAGCGATAAATATCAAATCGAGAATTCTCTTACTCTAAAAAAGAGTATCGTCTCTATAAACAAATTTGTAGGCAGCTAACCTTTATGCCACTCAAACTCATGTGGCTGTATTTTTCCAGTCTTTAGCTTAAAGAAAAAAGCAAATAGGCAAGTTCTGTCCTCAGATTCAACATGTACCAAGGCTCGGATGTTATAATTTGTTGCTTGTAACATCCTATGTGACAAATGTGGCATTACAAATCCAGAAGTCCCCCTGTAACGTGCAAATACATTATGCGACATGCTAAGCTTAGTAAACAGTATTATCAACCAGCATGGAGATGAACATCATCATCAACAGCATTTCCTGGGCACCGGCTGTGACTGTTGAACCGTGCTATGGAAAAATGCAATTGTAGATTCAGAACCTGTATTTTATCTCCTCTCCATCAAGAAGTGCTCTGAGGGTGGCAGAAGTTTTCAAAAAGTCCCAAGGAACAGAGAACAGGATAAAACGATGGCAGAGACTACCCTTTAGGGACTTACGCAAGAACAAAGCAGTAGCAGGCCAGGGCGAAGGACACCTAGAGCCATGAAGAAATTGAGTGTGACCAAAACCTGTGATCTTTATATGCAATTTGCAAACGTTTAAAATGTGTAGTCTGCTTGGTCCCAAGGGTGCAAGTGTTTCTTTTGTTTTAGTTTCCTCCTATATTTCTACTCAACTTAATTAAGATTTTATCTCAGGTTAAAGTTTTCATAATCTTGGCTTATAGTTAATATAATTTGGCTTGAGCTGTATATGGATGAAAAATCTACAAAACACAAGAAACAGACCCAAAAGAAAAGAGGCAAGTAACGATGAAGTGCTATCTATACAGAACTCACAAACTAAGAAGTGTTCTTGAGAAACACAGTGTCTTCTTCCTAAGAAAGACTGAACTGTTCAAAGCCATTATTTCATTAAGGGTTTGGTGTCTCTGCACTGTTATTGGTCGTATATTTTATATTTGATTGGAGGCTCAGTAAAGAATCCGAGGAAAATTCTAAAAAAAAAAAACAAAACAAAACAGGACTGCAAAAGGCTGGGGAAAAAATGGCCGCGAACAACATCAATATAACTGATGATGGAAAATAAAACTGAACTCAGAAAAGTTCTAGGAGGCAGGAAGGGAGAGGGAAAGAAGAATACTGCTTTTGTGGCTTCTACCTGCCATGTTCGCCTGGCTGGTCCCCAGGGCCTGAAGGATCAGCTGCAGCTCCCTGACAGCTGTTGCCGCCTCTTCTCCACAGGACAAGTCGGGCTCCAGGACCACCTCCAGAAGGCCCACTCCTACCAAAGAGAGGCAGAGTCAGCCTCACTGCAGCTCTCCAATTTCACCAGCAGAAAAATTAGGCCTAAGTTTCAGGAAACACTGCCTTACTGAAGGACTCTCAAAGTGGTTCTAGCCTCTGAATCATTCTTCCCTCACACTTCGTTTTGGAGGTGTCATCTCGTTCTGTTGCCCAGGCTGGAGTGCAGTGACACAATCATAGCTCACTGCAGCTCTGAACTCCTGGGCCCAAGTGATCCCCCCCACCTCAGCCTCCTGAATAGCTGAGGCTACAGGTGGATGGCACACCTGGCTGTTTTTAATTTTTTTGGCGACTAGGTCTCGCTATGTTGCCCAGCCTCATCTCAAACTCCGCGTCAGTTGATCCTCTGACCTCAGCTTTCTGAGTCGTTGGCATTACAAGTATAAGCCACCATCCCGAGGCCCTACTTTTTGATTTTTAACTGTTTCACTCCTTTTAATGACTGCTTAAAATATCTAGCTGCTGGGTCTGAGACTAGGTGGTTAAGTTTGTCCAACTTCAGGGGTGAGTTATTAGCAAGCCTAACAGTGATCACAGTTCAAGCCATGCTCACTAATCACCTATGCCAATCCCAATGCTGATAGTTTGGTCTCCATCTGTTAGACTTCTGTGACTGCTTTCTCAATTTGTTTAGGAAAACTCTGGTGGGGAAAAGAGGGACCTGCAATCCAAGAATCGAAGTGGGAAGGAGAAGTAATGAAAACACTCCAAGCCTACCCGCCCTGTTCAAATCAATGAGCGTCTGAGATCTCAGGTCATCGTGGAGGCTTTTGCCACTGTCTTGCTCCAGCTGGATCTGCTTGACCCTCACCGTCTTGGGGATCACCTGACCCCGCTCCTTCCCTGCAGAGATGCCGTATGTCAAGCTCCCATTCACAGCAATTGGAAGCCTCTGCTGTGTAATCTGGTAGCCCGCCTGCACACAAACACAGGGTACATAGTCACTGGTCAACACATACAACCTAGGATCCAGTTTACGATTCCTTTTACAATCACACAAAGATAGGCCTACTTAAAGCAAAAAAAGTAACAAGAAAAAAAAAGGAAAAGGAGAAGAAAAATTAGTTGCTGCATTGCAGCCCTCATTGAGCCTGGTCCCTCCTGCTCCTGCCGTCATCCCTTCACCCTCCCCAAATCCTCCACCCTCAGTAAACGCAAGAAACAGCACGAATTCATCCCATCGCCCTCACTGAAGTGCTGTATTGGGGAACAACAATAATCTCATTGTCAGAGGCCCCTAAGAAAAGAATTCATTGTTTCCGTCCAGCTCATTAGATTAAACTCTGCATCTCATTACCCGGCTCCTGGCAGACCCTCCTCATTCGGAATGCTGGCTAAGCACTTTGCCATCTATTCTCCACACGGCCAACAGCAGTTGCTAGTGTGTGTTTAAGCTTGTTTGGTTTCTGCTTTTTAAAGGAATCAATCATGGTAGCTGCCCTCCCTGACCCAACTTCCCTAGTTCCTCTAGCCAGAAAATGCTGTGACCCTCACCCTCCGTTAACGGAAAGCACATGGTACTAAAGCACTGATGGATCCTGCAAGGATCCCTCACCTGCTTCTAAGTGGAAAGGGAGAATTACTTTCAAAGGGACACATGCATCAATACGAACTAAAGAGATGGCAGGTCAATGAGGAGAACTGAAGAACAGAGAATAAGAGCAAAGGCATCTGCAGCACTTGCTAGGTCCCAGACGCTGCTCTCACTGTGTAACGCTCAGTTAATTCCACAACAACCCTAGAAGAGGAACAAGGCACGGAGGGATCAGGACCTTGCCCAAAGCCACATACAGAGCTAGTGAGCATCAGTGTCAGCGTCTGAATTCAGGTGGTCAGGCTCCAAAATCCGTGTCATTCACCACTTGGCCAGCCAGCAGTTTAAGAACTTTAACTGCATCAGAAATACTACTGTGTTTGTGAAAACGTAGACTGGTTGGCCTGACCTCAAAGGTTTCCGATTCAGTAGGTTGTGGGTGGGCCCTGAGAATTTATGTTTCTGACCAGTTCCCAGAGATGATGATGTTGGTGCCCTGGAGACCACATTTTGAGAACCCTGCGAAAGGGTAACCCATTTTCTGTGCTAAGACGGGAAGTCTCAGTTTGTGAAACTAAGCTCTGGTTAGGATTGATGGATAAAATACAGGACGCCCAGTTAAATCTGAATTTCAGATAAACAATGAATGCTTTATTAGATAAGTATGTCTCATGAAACTTGGATTATCTGAACTATCTGGGCCAGAAGGACCAGAAAGCCACAAACGACCAAAACATCTCATTTTAGTCATATTATTACTAAATCTCCCACCTCAACCAAACTGTCACTCCTAAAAGATGAAGAAATGGAGTTTAATTATTTCTGCCCTGTGAAACAGTGGGCTTGCTGAGAGGCTGGAGGCCGGAGGGGAAAAGCAGCAGCCACTGAAGAATGCAGGTCTTACTTGGATTTTTTATTTTAATCCTACTCGTGCCCTCACCCACTAAAAAACAGCTTACCCCAATCTTCAGTTTAAGGAGAACGAGATGAAGCAACATCATTACTGTTGTTTTTCCCAATCAGATCAAACAAAACATTATTTTGGGAAACCCACTCAACATTTCAGTTTTGTTCCAGTTCAATAGCATGAAAAATTGGCTCTCACTCACATGGTGTGGCTTAAAGAAAAAAAACTTTTTAATTTTTGGAAAAAAGCGGGTCAATACAGAATTTACTGCTCAGCCAATTACTGTTCTTGGTCCAGGTTTCTGGTTCATGTTTCCGCTTACCATTGTCCACTTACTTGCTCCTTGTGAGATGACAGAAATGTCTCCAAAGGAGACAGCCCTATTATTGGGAACTTCAACTTAAAAGCGAGACGCTCTCCTTCTTCCGACAGAGCTACAGTATGCATTTACTGTTGCATCAGCCAGAGGCTTAGCTTTTGTACTAACAGGCAATTAGCACCAAATACCACAGCTGGGCTGAGCCTGAGAACACTGACTTCTACTCCCTGTGCAATTATGAGCGAGCTACCAGAAGCATGAGGCAAGCAAGAAGTCAGCAATCAAGACAATTGCATCCAATCTAGTAAACATTGGGGGCACCTGCCTGCATCAGGGCCGGGCAGAACTTCCCACTGGGATGGACACAGTGCTGGCTGAAAACATGAGAGGCACAGCCCCTTTTCCTCGCTCCAACCCCCGACAGCAGGGCTGGCTCAGCTCTGAGAACTTGTAGTGGGGTGGATTGCAAAGTGTACTTACAGGGAGGTCTGCATAGAAGTAGTGCTTCCTGTCAAACAAGGACTTCTTGTTTATGTGGCAGTTCAGAGCCAGGCCTGTCATTACCGCCGCTTCCACACACCTCCTGTTGAGAACCTATGGGAACACAACACACAGTTCCTCTCAGGACCGCAGGCTGAACAAATGCTTCTCCCACACGCTGACATCCTCGCTGAATATGCAACTTGGCCCTTCAACAGGCATTATCTCTGGTTCTCTGGGTGGGCAGCTCCAGTTCACTAGCTGACTCTGTTTGCCTGGGACTCAGAGAAAGGATATAAAAAAGAAAATGCATGCAGCAGTGGGTCCCACTGGGCACTTAATGAACTGCCACATCAGGGACCCCTTCCCCCGAAGCCTGGCATCAAAGCTAACAGGAAGAGTCCCAGAAAAGCTTAGCGGAGGGTTTACTACATAGAATAAACCTATTCTTACTCCCTCTACAAACAGAATGAGGGGCCGGTCTCATTCTCATACAGAGATACAGAATACTCAAGAGGCCCTGATTCCTGAGAGAAGTTCTGATGAAGGGTTGCTTTACTTTGACAGAAAAAGAAATGAACTTCTGAAAACGACGGCTATAGCCATTTTCTCAAGGGCTAGGAAATGTGGCACAGCTGTTGCCTGGCTTTCTGTCCATGCCAGGCCAACTCCCTAAAAGTGGAACTCCTATGGAGGGCCTGCGCCACACACCATGCTGCTGACTCTCCAGGACCGCCTGGCATTCCAGTTCCTTCTGGGCCCCACCCTGCCCCCCTTACAGGAGTAAATGACTAAGAAATGGTGAGCACACTTCCCAGCACCAAAGGATGTGAACAGCTTTTAAGAACCCTGGGGGTTTGGAACTAGACAGACAACGAGAGACAATGTAGCCTAGGAGAAAGAGCATTCAGTTCTTGAGTCAGGTCTGAATCCCACTTGTGCCACGTCTGTCACTAGGAGCCTCCGTTTCCTTGTGTCTAAAATTGAGATTTAAGATCTACTTTGCAGAACGGATAAAGTGCTAGCTGGAACACCTGCCCTAAGGGAGAGACTCAGTAAATATGTCATTTCCTTACTCTACTTTGGGAAAATTTGGGAAGATGTCATGTTTGCAGATGAAATATATTTCTATGTTTTACGAGGATATTTATGATGTACTTTGGTATATTTAATATACCATTATTTCTATAGATAAGGCTTTCTAATTGAGCATTTCCACATTCAGCATTTCATTTCAGCCTCATAGCAACCCTATAAAATAAGGAATCTGTATTATTCCAATATTTCAGACTAAAAAACAACAACAACAGTAAGATCCAAAGAGTCTAAAACATTTGCCCAAATTCACAGAACTGACAAGTGGTGAAGCTGCCTGTAAAGCCCACACATGCCCTGGCCTAGAGACGCCCAAGAGAACTTCCGTGGTTCAGGGACTGGCTCTTTGGGCTGGGATGATAAATGTTGACCAAACACACAGATTTTAAAAAGAAATCCGTATGACAAAATGTAAGGGGCATTTCTACTTACTAACAATATACAGTTCCCAAAGAAAAACCAAACAAATCTCCCTCCTAGTGACAACATCACACCCTTCTTTTTCAGGTCTCAGGTTATAAGATGGAGCCATCTCACAGTTTGTATTTGGAGTTCTTCATTCTGTGCCTAATAATGTCAGCTCTGCAGCAATAAAGGTTTCCAAGAAAAGATGTGTGGGGAACAGGAAGCTCTAATTATTGATGTTTTTCACTTGCCTAATGTTTGGCATTTTACTGAGTGATTCTTACTGAGATACAAATATAGATGGTAATCCTGCCAAATCCAACCCTGATGATTTGGGTCCAGGCACACAGAACGTGAAGCTGGGGTCCTGACCCTGGGCTTTGCTCTTACTGGGGCCAGAATGTAGCCAGCCAGGGCTGGCTCATAAACTGCCTTTCTTCCTGGTCTGTACCAGTTCTGCTTTATCATTCCCTCCGCTTTCCTAACCACCGCTTTTGCTCTCATTTCAAGCCACTTTGCTCCTGGGGCCAAGCTGCTTCCTCCCTAGGCATGAAGAGAACCCAGGTTATTTTGTTTATTTTTGAGCATGCATCTAGCCTCCCTGTGGGTGAAGAGTTGAGGGCGATCACAGATTCTCACTGTGTCCGTGTGCACACAAGTGCATGGGCACTTCATAAACCACCACTTTGCAGAGAAGAAGGAGGCAGCAAAACAGACAAACATTACAGCGATACTGAATGTGCTTTAATCTTTTTTTCATGATTTAGAAGGCATGAAGTACTTCAAGGTCAGAATTATAAGCATCAATCACCACATACTACAGCTGTACAGAGGGGCTAGTAAACAGAGAGAGTGCCAGGTAAAAGAATGCCAAGAAAAAAAGGAATTTCCTAAGATCTTAAGTCAAGCTGCTTGTGACAGATGGAGGTCCAGGTCAGCATGTTCTGAGGGTAGGACGCAGAATGGGAAAATTCAACTTGGGCTGTCTTCACTCCAAAAAAATTCTTAAATGTCTATAAAGCACTAAAATTTAGGGATACAGAGACAAATAGGACCCCAGCTCTGCCCTCAATGAATCAGCAGTGGTGACAAGAACCTGCCAGCATCTGCAAACCTTTTTCAAGTTTGTCTTTTATACTAGGTTGATCCTGCTAAAAATGTAAATCTGTGGCATTCTGTTACCTGAAGTCCCTCAGTGGCCCCTGATGTTCCCACGACAAAGGCCAAGCTCTTACATGATCAAGCTCTTGCCTACATCTTCAATTTCATCTCCTACCAAGCACCCCACTCCCTGACACCTCTGGTCTAGTTCTCCTGTGCAAATCATGCTGATTTTCTGAGTCTTCCCATTCTTATTCCCTTCAAAATCCTGGTGAGATGTCACCACCTCTGTGAAACCTTCCTTGTTGTCCCTTCTGTGTACCTCTTCTGACCTCCTACACACTCCCATCGGTGCTTCTATCACAACGGATTGAATTTGTTCACATATATTTCCACACAATTGCAAGTTTCACGAGGACAGAAATTGTTCACCCTTGTATCCCTGGAGCTGAATACAGAACCTGAAAAATAGTGATGCTTAATTAACGTGTGTTGAACTCAAAGGAGGAGGGAGGGGATGAGTATCAATGCAAAGTTTCAGAGAGGCAGTGATACCCATCTCCTCTACAATATTACCTGCCACATGCTGGCCTTCAAACTTGTTTCTAGAAGTGCCCTGAAGTGACAACTGATTGTATGTGACACAATCAAAGATGAACTTAAAAACTCAAAAGACTAACTTGTCTTGAAGATAAGTATGTTCCAGAATTTCCTTGTAATGAAATGACTACAAAGGATCTCAGGGTTAGCCACAGCAGCTCTCATTTGGAAGAAGGTAGCAATCTTTGGTACTCATGCAGCACACCTGTCTCAGCTGGGCCTTCAGAGGCTTCTTTTTGGCTTAAGGAAGGGTCAGCAGTGAGTATTTATTGTGTCAGGAGGTGTGCCGCACGTCACACACACATGCCATTGAATCCTCTCATTCCCACGGTAGATACTATTATGATCCTCATGTTACATGAAGGGAAGCACAGAGATGATGCAGTTTGGCCAGGGTGACAGACACATAGAAGTGGCAGAGCCAGAAGTCAGACCCCAGAACCCAGGCTCTCAACCACTATATTCAATCTGAAATCTTACAAGATAAAATAGTTTTAGCTATCAAACCTACTAACACCAGGCCATAACTACAGAGCAGTACCTCATCCCAAATCCCCCTGTGCATCATTTAAGACTGATGCTGTTTCTAGTGTGTTTCTTCTTGCCAGTTTCTCCCTCTGTAGGTTTGTTTCCAGATGTTGAGCTCCCAGAGGGCAAGCACTGTGCTCTTTTAACTACATGAAAGAACTCAGTGTTCTTTCAGTGCAGTCTTTGGCATGTGGAAGACTTGGTGATGGGTAAGCCTCCATGTTTTCTCAACTAGCAGAGGATATTCTATTGCCAGACTTCAGAAACCCTGAGACACAGGTACTCATACAATGATTTATCAAGTAAGAGGTTAATTCTTTTATTTAATCAGAAGACGAGAAAGCTGTGGTGGGTAGAGGTAGGAGATGAGACAAATATACAGTGGGCGGCCAACAAATTTTATGACTAGTAGATAGAGATAAGGTACATCATGGCCAAGAAAAAGATTCTGGGGTGGTGGGTGGCGGGAGTAGCAGACCGTTTTTAATAAAGAATTGCTTGTTTGGCTTACCTGTAAGACCTGAGTAGTGCTGCAACAATAACTTGTTTGAAACCTAAGATACATCCAGCTCATAAGGCACCATAAACAACTCAGAGTTTGCATGAGACCTCTAAGGGGACACAGCGACCCTAATTTGAGAAACAGGCTTCTAGTTTTAACATTTATTTAGCTAAATTCCCTGATCTCTGAGACCATCACTTAACGACAACTCCCAACACTTTGAAAAAATCACTAAGTTCTACACATTCTACTTTCTTAACATATCTTGATGTTTCCCCTCCTCCTCAGGCCTTCAGTTTTAACTCAGATCTTTGTTTAAATACCACCTGCTCCTACCAGGACGTCTGCCACTTACCACCTGGCCAGAAGGTTTCTCTGCCTCTATTTCCAGCCCTCTAATCTCTCTTCCACACTTCTCCTAGGGTGACTTTTTTGAAGGATAAACCTGTTCATGTAATTCCTCTGCTTAAAATCCTTTTTACTGCTCCCCAGTCCTATCAGGATAAAGTCCAAGTGCCTGGCAGGGGCTTCAATGCCCTTGGTAGTCTAGCCCGGACCACCTCTCTAGCTTCCTCTTCCTCCAGTCCGCCTGATCACCATGCTCCTGCAGCCAAGTGTGAAACATGCTTTTGTACAATCTGCTGCTTCTGCTGGGAATGGCCTTCTTCCTCATCTGCTTGAGCAAGACCTTAGCATCTGGCAAGACTCTCGGATGTCGCCTCTTCTGTGACATCTTTCCCACCACTATTTCAGTCTAGGTCTTGTTCCTTTTAGCTCCCCTGGTGCTTGGAGAATGCACTGTGTCTCCAAACAGACTGAGTTCCCCCAGGACAATCAGGTCATTTTGTCTTATTCTTCTTTGCCCTATCACCTAAATATAATA